TACAATCAGAACATTATTTTGAACAAATTAGTTGGCCAAAAAAAAAAAAAAAAGGATTAGCACCCTACTTATTGATATAAATGATATAACTAGTTGTAAAACAATAGAAAAAAAACTGCAAAAACTTGATGTTAATAAAGCTATTGGTGTTGATGGAATTAGTCCTTATGTATTAAAAAAGTGTTGTAAAACTATAAGCATACCACTATCATTATTATACCATAAGTCATTATCAGAAAAAAATTACCTCATTTATGGAAATGTGCAAATGTTTCTCCTTTGTTTAAAAAAGGAGATAGAAATGATGCACTTAATTACAGACCGATATCTTTATCATCAATTCCATGTAAGATTATTGAATCAATTATTAATGATGTAGTTATGGATCATCTAATTGAAAATGGTGTATTTAATGGAAATCAACATGGGTTTAGAAAAAATAAAAATTGTGTCACTAATTTATTAGAAACATTAGATATAATTACAGATACCTTAGAAAAGAATTATTCAGTAGATTTGTTGTATTTAGATTTTGCTAAGGCATTTGATAAAGTGCCACATGCCAGATTATTAAGAAAGATAGAATCTTACGGTATTGTTGGAGATATTTTAAAATGGATAGAAGATTTTTTACATAACAGGAGACAGCAAGTTATTCTAGGAGATTATGTATCAAACTGGTTACCAGTTATCAGTGGTGTACCTCAGGGCTCAGTTTTATGGCCACTTTTATTCTTAATCTTTATCAATGACCTTTCTGATAATATCCAAAACTGTATAAAGTTGTATGCAGATGACAGTAAAATAATAAACATTATAAAATCAGCTGAAGATCCTATAAAGCTGTAAGCAGATCTAAATTATCTTATGGAATGGTCATCAATCTGGTTAACAAAATTTAATTATGATAAATGCAAGGTCATGCATATTGGCAAAAAAAATCCTCAAACCACATATGTAATGAATGATTCAGATACAAATCAAGATCACATTTTGTTAGTAACTGATTCTGAACATGATCTTGGTGTCATAATTCAATCAAATCTAAAATGGGATTTGCATATTAATGCAGCAGTTTGTAAAGCTAATTCAGTCCTGGGTTTGATTCGTCAAACTTTCAAAAACTTAGATGTAAACATGGTTAAGAAATTATATATAACATTTGTGCGTCCACATCTTGAATATGCTGTGCAAGTTGGTGTCCCTATCTAAAACAAGATACTGATAAAATCAAAAAGATTCAACGAAGAGCAACCAAACTCATACCATCACTCAAAAAATCTTCTTACAAAAAACGATTAAAAATTATGAATTTGGCAACCTTACAAGAACGTAGGCTGCGAGGTGATTTAATCCAACAATACAAAATTGAGCGCAATCAATGCTCTAAACCTATGTCAGCACAAATACACTTTGAATAAATCTTTTTGTAAAAGCAAGTGTAGATTTAATTTTTTTTCAACACAGTCTAATCCATGGAATAGCTTGACATATAAAATCGTAGATGCTGACTCAATTGACAAATTCAAGAACTACCTCGACAAATTGTGTAGAGATAAAAAACTTTAATTATTCAAAAACCAATATTAGCTGTTATAGTACAATATCTTATGTACCCCACATCTGATATCAGTTGTTACGGCTCAGAACTTTTATTATTATTATATAATATTAGTTTACACAATATTAGTATACTAATATTATGTAAACTAATTGTAAACTTATGCAAAACTAAAAACTAATATTTTTAATATTAGTTTTTAACACTATTACATTTTAAAAATGATATGTTAAAAATTATATAAAAAATTTTTATTCGTCATAAGTACATGCTATTAGTTGAAATGTATAAAATTTAAACAGAAAATAGTATAAGTTACATGGGGCACTTTGATCCTTCGATCAATGAGCCCGGCCTAATCAAGAACCAATGTGCTCCAAAAGGTACAGTTGATGCCAATAACTTCCGTAAATATTCTAATCAACTTAAAAAAACAAATTTATTATACACTTAACACATATGACTTTAAAATAAAATGGTTGTTTAAAGTCATACGAAAATCTAATCAAAAATTCATTTGAATTTGTTTACTACTTTCAAAAAATCACTTTTCATAATGAAAAACTGTTTTTTTTTTTTTTCTTAACGCAGAAGTTGATCCCATCAAAAATATTATGATTAAACAATAAAGGGTAGTATAGTGGTTATTTCAACTTCAATCTCTGCCAAAATAAGGAAAAAATAAACTAAAAGATCATACTGCCGCAGCGATCAATGCGCCCCCCCCTCCACTTCCCCTAACATGTGAGCAGCAGTGTGAAAATAAATATTCCCCGATCCCTGCACCACACTTATGTGATGCGTATGATTGACGATTGACTTTTGAACATAAAATTTTTCGTTCAGGTTTGTTAGACTGACATCCATTTTCCGTGGGTAAGAAATACAATTTTACTTTAGAGTATAGAAATATTTAATATGAACAAATAATTCATTAAGTACATAAATAAATTAAAACTTTCCGACATAAGCATTTGATAACTTGAATTTAATGATATCATTTTTTGTCTGCTCATACCCATAACATTACAATGATCATAAAATTGTTGCTAAAAAATTAAAATATTATGGTATAACAGGCAATGTTTTAAAAAGGTTAAAAAGTTATTTAACTAATCGTAAACAATTTGTTTACGCAAATGAAACATTTTCATGGAGTTCGGCAACGATCCATATTAGAACCTCTTCTTTTCCTTATTTATATTAATGATCCATACAAAGGCTCGAATTTAATAATAATTATGTTTGCTGATGACACTAATTTATTATGTCACACAAAAGCATTCCTACTCTATTTCATTACGTGAACATAGAGTTAATCAAAATATCTGACTGACAAATTATCTCTTAACATTGATAAAACTAAATGGATTCTTTTCCACCCTCTCATCAAAAAACATTTCAACTTTCAACTATGCCTAAACTTGTTATTGACAGCATACAAATTAAACAAGAACAGTAACTAACTTTCTAAGTGTTTGTATAGATGAAAATCTTACATGGAAAAATCACATTAAATACTTATTAAGTAAAATTTCAAAAAGTATAGGAATATTGTACAAAGAAAGAAATATTTTAAATAAACATACTTTAGTACCATTATATTACTCATTTATTCATTGTCACATAAACTATGCAAACATTGCTTGGGGTAGTATATACAAAAATAAATTTAAACCTCTTTATTGTCAGCAGAAGCATGTTCTGTATATTTTAAAGACCATTAAACTCATGCCAAGCCACTATTATTTGAAACGAAAGTTTTTAATATATATGAGCTTAATATTTTTAATATGCTTTGTTTTAGGTTTAAATGTAAAACCAAATTATCCTCATAATTTGTATTCATCAAAAGATAAAAATAAATACATTTTACGCAATGATAATTTTAGTTAGCAGTCCATTTTTCAAACAATTTTTTTTTTTAATTTTGTATTGATTATCGTGGACCATTCTTGTGGAATAAAATAATTTTTAAAAATTTTACTGAGAATTTTATTCATCAAAATAACTACTTTTTTTTTAAACGAATGCTTAAAGAACTCATTTTTACAATCAAAGATTTAACAATATATTTATGATATTTTTCAGTAATCTTCCTTATTACCCTCTATTTAAACAAGAATTTATAAAAATTATATATGTATCATTAACAACTGTAACCTACATATATAATAGATATAACGTATCTTGTATTTATAAAGGAATATTTCAAGTTACTTACTTCGCTAACTTATTTTTTATCTTGTAAATATCTTATAAATTTTAACACCAACACTTCTTAGCGGTACTCGACGACAAGACCGTATGGTCTTTTACAAGCCTCCGCGCTCTTTTATTATTTAATAACGATCATTATAAATATATATATATATATATATATATATATATATATATATATATATATATATATATATATATATATTCATTATTATATATGTGTTTTTTAAATATTGTAACGAAATTCTAATTTAAAATATAATTAAAATAAAAAATACACATTGTTTACGAACTCTTTGATTTGGTCTTTCAATTTTTGGATATAAGAGCATTGTATAACAAAATACAGCATGAAGATAATCCTTGCCGCTGTATATATATATATATATATATATATATATATATATATATATATATATATATATATATATATATATATATATATATATATATATATATATACTATATATATATATATATATATATATATATATATATATATATATATATATATATATATATATATATATATATATATATATATATTATATTAAAATAATAAAATTAGATTTGTAACATAACTCAGAGTTTCACGCTATATGCGATCATCAGACGCTACAAACCATAACAACAACAAAAATTATATACAAAAATACAATACAGTGTTAATTTATTATTATTTTAATATAATATATATTTTCTCTACTTTTGTATTGAGGACTGTCTACCGAAATATTACTTATGTTACTGGTATATATATATATATATATATATATATATATATATATATATATATATATATATATATATATATATATATTTATATATATATATATAATATATATATATATATATATATATATATATATATATATATATATATATATATATATATATATATATATATATATATATATATATATATATAAATATATATATACATGAAGATAATCCTTGCCACTGTATATATATATATATATATATATATATTTATATATATATTATATATATATATATATATATATATATATATATATATATATATATATATATATATATATATATATATATATATATATATATATATATATATATATATAACAAAAATAAAGAATAAAAAAATTAATTTTACTTTTTCTTAAGTTTTTTTAAGTTACTTCAAACATAAAATATATTTCGGATACCGGCATTATATTTCGGCCATTACTGTGATGTCACAACCACAATGCAAAGTGTTCGTTTGGTATATATATCATATAGTGTAATATATAGAATGATATGGAGTCGTCTTTTCTTGAGGATCTTCTCAAGAGAGAAGTCGATCAGAATCAAGTTAACGCGTTAGTAGGTTCACTTGAAAATCAATTAACGACTCCTAGAAGTACTCCAACACCTAGCGCAGTTATAAAAAGTGTAAATATATCTAAAAACGTTTTATATAATAATCTTGCCCCTTTATCAAATGCCCAATCTCCAGCCACTCAAAATGGAATCAGGAACGTTTCTTCTGTGGCAGCACCCATGCAAAATAATGGACAAATTGAATATAAAAATATTTGTTCCATTGGACAATCTATTGCTCAGGATGGTCATTCTTTACCCATGTCACTGAGTAATAGTAGGGCAAATATGGGTTTAATGAATAATGTTTCATCTCAAGTATCCATTGCTCCCAAAATAACAAATACTGTCAATATTGCTCCCAGACTAGGAACTAATATTATGATTACGCCAAGGCAAGCACAAATATTTATGGCACAACGCTTTGGTTCTAATTCATTAATAAATAATAATTTAATTTCTCAAATGCCAGGTAATATTCAGGTTATACCTAGAGTTCCTACTGGGGCACAAATACCTATTCCGCCTGTCATGAATACCCAAATTCATAATATTAGAACTGTTGATCCTAATAATCTTAATGATGTTAGAATGAGGATGAACTCTCCAGTAAATCCTACATCTTTAACTCAAATAAAAACAAGTAACCCTGTCTCTTCTCAAATGAGCTATCGATTTCGTCCACCAAGTAGTAACGAGGGGAATTCTGCACCAGCTACATCTGTTGCTTCTAATCTACAGAATAACACTGCTAATATAACTATTATGAAAGAGTCTGTTAAAAGACTCAAGGAGTTTTTTCAAAATTTAATAAACTTAGCTTGTGCACCAAATCAGCCTCCTGAAATTGGAAAAATGGTCAAAGAATTAGTGCACAACTTAATGGTAAGTTAGTCAGAAGATATCATTTATACCATGCTACATTTTTGGTTTTATCATTAGCTTGCAATTTTGTTTTGCATTACAGCAATGTCGTGTTACAGAAGAAGAATTTATCGAAAAATTGCAGAAGACTTTAAAATCAGACCCTCAACCAAGTCTTGTGCACTTTTTGAAGGTAGATTTTATAAGTTTATATTTATAAATAAATAATAACTATCAAATGCCTTGTACAAAGCAGTTTATTATAAGGTTTTTTTTATTTGTTTTAACATTAAAATACCAAAAAGCAAGTTATATTGAAAATGACCCTATTATTTATGTCTTCTAGATTTTTATGATTAATATAAAATCAAAATTTTTTGAATTACTGTTTTGTATTTAAAATTAATACCATTTCAAAAAAATATATATATGTGAATTACTTACAAATTCTTTTTTTGTTGTACTAATATTTGGAAAGAAATTTTGGTAAAGAATGGTCTTTACCAAAAATCTCATCATATTTAGTTTTCAAATTGTTTCATAGAAAGATTGGAAAGTTGTATGTTTGTTGTTTTTGTTCTATATTTATCTTATCTTTTGTTAAATATTTATAATACAAATAAGTTTATAGTTAAGTAGGGTGACCATATTTTAAAAAGACCAGAAAACCAGGGCACACAAAAAAGAAATAATAAAAAAGGAAAAATCCCCAAAATGGCACTAAAAAGGACTTTAAATAAATATTTTCAAACAGGATTGTTTAACTCAACTTAGAATACATAGAAACAGCATGAATCCCAGGGAAAACCTGGAAAACTCAGGGGATAAACTGCATAAAATTCAGGAAAAACTTAGGGAAAATTTTGTAGAATACTTGTTTTTCAAAAATATCTTTCTAATATATAAAATAATAAGTTTCCAAGATGTAGATGTCATTGTAAAAGTTTTAGTCAAATATAAAGATTGTGTTTAAATAAGGAAAATAATAATCTTATTGATAAACTGAAAAGAATATAGAAAAGTCAGGGAAAACTCAATAAATTTAAAAAGTTCAACTCAGGGGAAATTGTTCTTTACTCAGAGAAAAACTTTTAAAATTATAGTGGCAGCCCTGTCAAAACTTCACATTTGGATAAAGTAAGGAAATTTATTTTCAAAAAACTGACAAACATTCATCAAATACATACATACTGATTAATTAACTTCAACCTCTTCTTATATTCTTATATACTTCCATTCTTTAGACAAATCTTTATTGTAAACGCATCCACTTTAGTATTCTAACTAAACTATAGTTAAAAACTAGTTAAAAAAAAATATTGTATTTAAATGTTTATAAATTTATAGAATGGAAGTCTATAAAATGGTTGATATTTAATTTAAAATGAAATACAAGTTACAAAGAACTTCAAGCTTATTTTAAAAGCAAGAAATATATAGCCTATATAATCACCAACAGTTTAAAAATAAACAAATATCAAAAAGAGTTCTTTTATCAGAAATTTACTCCTTTATTTGATTTTTCAAAATTTAAGAAAACATTTTAATTCATTCAATTTTGTAATTACAAAATTCTATTGCTTAACAAAATTTGGTTTAATGAAAACTTTGTTTGCAGTAACTCTGGACCATAATTATTGGTAATTAAAATATTTCTTACTTTTTTTTCCAAAACCATAGATTGTTTCAAAATCAGTGACCTTTTTTTTTGATGCCAATCAGATAACCTAAAATCTGGGGTGTCTGGTCACCCTATATTTAATTAGTATAAGTGATAGTGTTATAAAATGTAGTAATGAAAACATGATAGTAGCTAAAAAAGTTGTTCTTTAAAAAAATTTTAATTAATTTTTTGTGATATTTACAGAAAACTCTTCCCCACTTGAGAGAAACAATTAAAAAACAGCAAATGCAACAAGTTAATGCTAAATCACAACAGTTACAACAGCAGCAGCAACAACAACAACACCAACTTCAGCAGCAACAGCCACCTCCACAACAAAATTCTCCAAAATTATCTCTAAGGCCTAATGTTCCTGATATGAAAAATTTACAACTTTCTTCAATTATATCTGGTGGACAAGCTGTAGCTCCACAGCAATTTATTTTAGGAAAAAATCTTACACTTCAAGAGCAGCAAATGCTACAAAAACAACTACTTCAACATGGTAGAATTCTTATCGCAAGTTCAGGACAAGTAACACCTGGAATAAGAACAATTATTAATCAAACTACTCAGCCTACAGCTAATGGTATGATGAATAGACAAATGATGTCACCATTAGTAGTAGCTGGTCGAGAGAAGCCAAGAAATACACACTACTCTTCTGCTATTGGGTATGAGTGACATTCTATATAAGGTTATCACCTTTCTGGATTTTATTTTATATTGGAGAGCACAATTCCTAATTTAAGTTTCATTGTGTAAATTCTGGAAAGGTGACAAACTTTTAGATTTGTTTTGAATTTTAACATTAAAAAGAAAGTTTTATTTGTGATTATGAAATATGTTACTATTGTTTAATTTCATGATACAATAGAGACTAAGACTAACTGAAATAAGGTTTTATAAATGTCAAAGGTTATAGTTTAACATAAAAACAAGTATTTAAAACTTTGGTCTAAGAGAAAAAACTTAATATTTTATTGAAATTTCTCTAAAGGTGAATTCATTTATGTATTAATAGGAAAATATCAGGATATCAAAAATATTTTTTGATGACATTTTTTTTGTACAAATAAGATTTAGATTAAATAATGATTTTATCTTTAATTTAAGTTGCCAACATTTGATAAAGCCACACTTTATCAGAGCTTTTAATAATAAATGTTATTTGAATAATCTTGCTGCAATCTAAAACATAGATTGGAGTTCGATGCTGCAATCTAAAACATCGATTGAAGTAAATGTTATTTGAATAATCTTGCTGCAATCTAAAACATCGATTGGAGTTCTGACAAAAACCCAGTCTGGGGTTTAATTAGCATTTCGATTATATTTAATCTACACAAGCTGCTTAAAAAAAAACATGATTTTAGACCTAAATGACAAAGTTATCTAATATGTTAAGTGATGTATTAAAATGCTGTTCTACATAATATTTTTTATGTTTGTTGCTTTAATTTTTTTGAATTTTTGAGTTTGATAATCTTATTTGATCTAAAAAAGTTATTCACTTTTTGCACACCTTCTTTAGAAAATTTAAACAATTGCAACTTTATAATTAAGTTTGGGTTATGTTATGTTAATAATTATTAAGTTATTAAGTGCAAATGATTGTCTATTCAAGTTTAGGGAAATTGCATTTTTTTATTTTTTTCAAGAAGTTGCAAATATAATTCTGTTTGAATAGTCTCCTGCTGCAAAAATTTTTCTACAAAACTGCATTTTGAGTTAAAGAGTGCAGTTTTTTTTTTTACTAAATTATAGTTTTGGATTTTTAATATATATATCTACCTTTTTTTTATTAATTTACCGATTTTCCAACCAATGGCATTTTTGATATTTTTATTTTGCATTATGATCAGGGCCATCCCTAGGAAAGGAGGAGGGCCTAGGGGTGTCTAGCCCCCCTACAAATTTTTTTAATCGGCATTTTGGACACTGGAGTCTGCAAAATTGGATCTATAGTTGGCAGTCGGCAAAAGTCCGCCAGTGGGGACCTTTTTTTTTTTTAAAGATAAGTTAGTCAGCAAAAAAAAATTTTGCCTTTAGTTAGCAAAAAAAATTTTTACCTTTAGTTAGCAAAAAACACTTACATCACTCCTCCCCTCCCCCCTATTAAAATCTCTCCATTAAGAACTTGGAACGGCCCTGATTACGATAATAATTAAATAATAAATAAACTAAACTTTATGCATTACTTAGAATTTTTTGAGAAGTTGTTTATTTTGACTTTGTTTATATGCAAATTTGTTTATTCTTAAGATGGTGTTTATAAGCTTTAATTTAACAGCTGAATAAGCTTATACTTTTATTACCAAGTTGTTTTTAGAATAATTTTATTTTGTGTTGTTCTACTGTTATACTTAAAAGTAACCTATTTGAGCATTTTTATCTATATGTGTTCAAGTATAGCTTTTTATATTTCTATATAATTGTTGTTTAGATATCTAATAATTAATACTAATTAATACTTTACTAATAAATTAATAAAGAATTCTAAGTAAACTACTAATCTTTGTACCATTTTCTTTTTAAAATTAAAATAAAAAGTGTTCCTCTAAAATTTTATTTCTTTTTTGAAAGTTTTATTTTCATAGTAAAAAAAAAACTAAAAAGTGTATATATTTTTAACTGAGTTTTTCTAATATATTTTAAAATAATGGTTTGGCTTTGATTTGGGTCCAAGTATTATTATTTTTAATTATTCACCTCCCCAAGGCCCGAGGCGGCCACTACACTTACTTAATTCATCTGTATCATACATACATACATACATACATACATACATACATACATACATACATAACTCTCGAAATTAGGGTCAGCATTCGGCAATGACGACCTAACTGCCGACCTAAATCATGGTCGGCAAAAAATTGCCGACCTTGATTTTATGTTTTATGGTCAGACCTTTGTATCAAATAATTTTTGCCGACCTCATTTTTCCTAATTCCGACAGTTGCATACATACATACATATATACAGAATCAAGATGAATTAATGTATTTTGAAAACTAATAATTGGCAGTGAAATGAAATATTATAAAATATTTTCAAAGGTAAAAATTTGCAATCAAGAAAATATGTAATGATTTAATAATCCAACAGTCTTTTATCAATATAAGAATCTCTGCAAAATCAACAAGTATAAGAAATGTCATAACGTAGTTCTGACACTATATAGAATTGTTACATTACATTATGACACTTCTATATGGTATCATAATGTAGTTATAATATTTTGAATCATAAAGTTAAACATATAAAATAAAAGTTTTTAAATTCAGTTTGTGTAATTTTTCTGATGCAAACCAAAAATGAAAACCTCTATATATTAAAATATATCACCGCTGTTTCAAATATTTAAATTAATATTAAGTAAGAAATAAGTTATTAAACAAAGTATCATTTTAGATGTGTTGCTAAATTCATACTAAAGTATATTTCATTCATAATAGAAATTTTGTTCTTTGAGTTTTTGAATATTTGCAAATCTTTTATGATATTTATCATAGATAAAAATTTTTTTTGGAATTTTGGAAATTAGTGTAAAAATAATTTTATTTTAAATTTTTTATTACTTATTTTTTAAAAGCGTCAAATTTTAAATGAGTTTAAACCTTTTTTAATTTAAGCTAAAGCTAATATGAACAAATAAAAAAAGTATTCTACAAAGCATTTCAAAAGGCAAAAAAAAAACTAATATACGTGTTTTTTTTTTTTTTTTATTTCTTATTTTCTTCAAATGTTTCCAGGATTTTCAATAAGTTCAAATCTGAGATTTTATCTAAATATTTTATTTGAACTTTATTATTTTGCTTTTTTAATCAAAATCATCTTTTATTTATAATAACTAATTTATAAAATTTAATGTAAATAAAATAATAAACTTATAAAAAATGTTTTTTGCATTATATTTTAGTTATATTGCATTACATTTAGTTAGATTTGTTGACTTGTTGTTATACTTTTTGCATTCCTCTTTAAATTTCATATAACACTTGTTTACAATTTTTCACTGTTTATATATATAAAAAATTTCAGAATTGTTAAAAAATTTTTTTGGGGCTGTTGGTTTAATATCAAATATTTATAATTATTGAAATGTTTACAGAAAAACTTAAATCTACTTTTTCTATCTTTATTTTTAGAGCGGATGATGATATTAACGATGTTACATGTATGGCTGGAGTCAATCTCATGGTTGGTTAAATTTTTTTTTTTTTTTTTTTTGTATTTTGGTATCAATAAGTTTTGTATTTTGGTATCAATAAGCATTTTGGTATCAATAGTAATATCTATAATTTTTCATATTTCCTACAAAAAACTATAAATCATTTTAAGCATAAGTTTAATTTTTAGAATCAAAATTTTCTGAAAACATTTCTCTTTGCTTCACTTGTGAAAAAAAACATTTTCTGAAAATTTTGACTGCTTTGAAAAAAAGTATTTTTGAAAAGATTGTCTTAAAAAAAAAAAAACTGAATAAGTTTAACTGTCTTGTTAATAGTTATATTTTACTAAATAACTTTAATTTTTCATTTTTAAGAACTTTTACATATTTAACTCTTAATAAATTAGGCAAAAAATAATAATAACATAAAACAAGAAAAAAGTTTTTTTTTTTTTTTTTTTTGCTTATTATTAGTATTTACGTGTTTTATTTTAATTAGTAATAAATTTTGCAATAAGTGATGTCCCAAACTTTGAGTCGAGTATGATTTTAAATCCTGCTTGGTAAAAAGAGTAACACTAAAAGAGCTTTCTTTTTTTGTTAATGTAACAAAGTAATTTTATTTTATTTAGTGATAGTTTTGTAATTTTTATTTTATTGTTATTTTTTATCATTAATACCAAGATCTTGTCCAGAAATTGTAAATGTTAATAGTATTGTGGCTTTTTTTTTTTTTTTGGTGCATCCTATGTGCATTATTGCACATTTATCTATGTTAAGGCACATTTTTTAAGGCACATTCTTTTTTGTCCATTCTGTCGTGCAATTAATGTCAGTTTGTGATGTGTTATAGTCTTGTGTCTAGATCAAAATGGGGCAAATGGCTTAGTATCCTCAGCATAGAGTTTACATCTTGATTTTAGGTTGATTTGGAAGATTTATAAATATCGCTTCTATTGCTGAACTTTATGGTGCACCACTGACGTCATTTTTGTCTAAATACTTGAACTAAAATTTATTTATGTTGATACTATGACAAAAATAGGCCATGATTAAACATCACAAAAAGTTTTAGTTTTAGCCAATATTTTATGGGCAATATAATAATAAATAAATACAATTTTTTAGTTTATAATTTATTTGTAATTTATAATACAATATTTCAATATTCACTTTGCACAAAATTTTTATTTCTATTTTAAATGATTACTTTGAATTTATATTTTTGTATATGGCAGTCAGCCCTTCAAATCAGAAAAGTTCTGGTGTGTGACCACCATATGCGAAAGATAACATAAGTATAATAATATAAAAAGCACCATTAAAAAAAATCATTATAATGCTTAAAAATTATCCTAAGAGCCTAAATCTGGCACTTGGTTTAATTTGCTTGAAATGATTCATAGTTTTTAATCAAAGATGTACAGTTTTAAATTTAGTTTGTTAAATTTATTACAGTTGAATATATTTACAGTTGTTTACTTTATGTTTATTATGTGTAATTTAAATACAGGAAGAATCTCAAAAGATTCTAGCTACCGGTGCTGAATTTATATCGACTCAAACACACAGTGTTCAGGATACTCCATTGTTACTACCTGAAGAGCTACGAGCTTCTGTGGAACGAATAGGTTATAAACATTTCTTAATTTGTCTGTGTTGTATTATAATTTTGTTATAATGTAAAAAAAATCTATTAAGCTAAACTAGACATTAACTTTACTTTTAACTTTTTATAAAAGAATTATTTAAATTAATATTTTAATTTTTGCCTTTCTAATAAAGTTTCTACCCAATCTAGATGATCTTTTAGCATTTAATTTTCTGAGGCCTTGGCCTTGAAACTCTTAATTTTGGCCTTGTCCTTGACCTTGTAACTTTTGGCCTTAATCTTGTAACATGTGGTCTTGGCCTTGCTTCTTTTGGCCTTGTTAACAACTTTGCTTTTCACACTATAGCTGGAAAAACACGTTTTTATTCAATAGAAGTATTTAAAATAATTTTCCATCAATAGTAAATAAAAAATTACCAAATGATAAGGAAGTAAAAGAATACACAGACAAAAAAATATGCACATGTAAAAAAATGTTTTGCAAGAAACAAGCAAAAAGGGTTGATTTTAAAGAAAGTGATCAAGTTCTTGTAAAATCTTATAAAACATGAAAGAAAAATTCAAACATATAGATAAATGTTAATTAATGTATAATAAATGCTTTTCCCAAACAAGTTAAGTGCAATAATTAGTTTTTTAAAAGTTGTGTTCATATGAACAAATTTTTAAAAAAGGAATAATTTTCAAAAAGAGATATTGTATATTTTTGTTATTTCTTTTAAACTAGTTTTGCATTTTGTTATTGCTTTTAAATTATTATTGCGTTTTATTTTAAATTGCAATATATTAACTAATTTAATTTAAATAAGGTATTCATAATTATGTTTTGCATTTAGAACATATCTTTTCCTTAGTAATAATTTTTAAATTCTTCTAAGTTGGCTTTAAGAGGTCTTTAGTTTATGTACTTTTTAGATCATTTATTTTGGTACAGAACAATATTTCATTATTTGTCGGGTTGTCCAATTATTTGTTGTTAATGTTAACAGTTTTAACTTCTTGTTTCTGTTTGATTTAGTAATTTTTCCTTCATTATTTTACAAATTAAATATGTCAATTTTTTCTAATACTTGTTTATTGAGCAATGAAAATTTCACTGTTGGAAATTCCTAAATAGTTTGAAATCACACTTGCCAAGAATATTTATTTACTTTAACTTGGTCTGTTTAAAATAATTGCTGATTTTGGCAAATGGCAAAGAACTCATCATCCTGAATGTTTTATTTGCAATTTTGCAACCAGTTAAAATGTATGGAGTACTGGTATTAAGCAACCGTGGTAGATATTTGACCGGGGCTGGGCCAGGTTTGTGACCGGGACTGCATAAACATCTATACATCCTAAATTATACTTTTTTTATTCAAAATTCATGTTACATTTTGTATATAAATGCATATACAAACATCATTATGATTGACATGATCATCATAATCATCATTAACATCATCATTATCATCATCATGATCATGATCATCATGTGATCATCTTCTCTTTTGGCAAATACTACACCATATAAATACTAAAGTTTATATAAAAATGAAATATTGTATGCCAGCATCTAAATAAGTAGCACACATATATGTTTATATCCTTAATATGTATGCATAAATTGCATCTCAAACGCTTTTGTTTCTTCTGGATTAAAAAATTGGAAGTTTTTATTCCTACTCAATTTTAATTCATGTCTCATTTTACTCCACATTTTTCACCATTTTGAGCAGTTGCTTTATTAAACATTAATCTTTTTTTTTTACAAGAACATCTCTCTTAAGAACAAATGTCCTTTTATTATTCCAAGAAGTTAATGGAAAAGGTTCCTGTCTGATGTTAAGCTCTGTTCTCAGTTCACTAAATGTTGTATGTTAGATGTATATCAGATATTAAGTTCTAGAAATCTTTGGTTAGTCTTCAACAATGTCATTAACTAAAGTAAGTCTAACATTTAATCTCTAATTCACAGGTTTGATCTTTTTACTTCTCCCTAAGTTAAAGCAGAGTTATTTGCAAAGAAATCTTACTTTAATTTGACTCTTGAATATAGTGGCCATACTCTTCCTTCCAGTTAAACAGATTAACCCATTATTAAACATCTAAATTACTCTGGCTTTCAATGCTGAAGTTAATTCTTAATTAAACGCTTCTACAGTTTGTACTTCAGACAAGTTTTCCATCATAGTCTTAAAAAGTGTTCTCTAAAACTCTCTTTAATTTTTGCTAAACTTTTAAAAAGTGCTAAAGAAGTGGTTCCAATTTTTCAAAACTTGCTAATAACAGAGTGAAGACTAATTCTACGATTAGTCTTCACTCTGTTATTAGTCTTCACTCTGTTATTTTTATATAAAGGTTTTGAGATTATTAAATTATTGCTTCCTAACGGCAGTATTAAAGTTATTCTTAAAGGCCTACACTCTTTTCTTCTACACACTTTATTTTGTTTAACTTTAAGGGTACCACAAGGTTCCCCTTATCTTTACTCCTATATTGTTTCTTATCTACAATATCAATCTTCATGAAAATTTACATCTAAAGTGGCTCTATTTGCTGACGAATCAACTTTAAATTCTTGTCTTAACAAAAAATCTTCACTTTTTAATTGCTTAAACAAGCTGCCAATTTTTAATCTGATCTCTCTTCTGTAACAGCCTTAGGCTTGCAGTGGCTTATGGATTTATATTTATATAATGGACTTAATCCACAATTTTTGTTAAACAACAAGACTCATTTATTTACTGCAAAAAAACATTGCAGTAATGTTGACATTCCTATATTGATGAATAACAACCCTCTTACTCTCAGACAAAGCACATTGTAAATGTAATTAAGACCTGCTTTATCTGCCAAGCTTGAGCCACTCACCCGTTGTTGTAAGGTTGCATTTCATTCCTTTTTCTACAAATACCATCATGGTCAATTCTCAAATAAGCTATCATTTCTATTACGATAAACCAAAACTCATTCTTGCTTGGCTTCTTATTCAACAAGTTACTTTTACTGTATCTGTCCCTTCATGCTATAAAAACTTTTATTAATTCATTTTTTTCCTTACACAACAAAAAAATCTTATAACTCTTAGCCATCCTCATATTTTTCTTTTATATACAACCTACAACTTTTCAAGTCTTCAGTTAACCATTTTCTGGTATTCTTACTTATTCTCTATTTTAAAGAAACTTATAACTTAATAGTGGTTGCTTATAATCTTGTTGGAAATAAATTAAAATATTTAAATATATGACAGTATTTAATAAACAGTAAATGTAAGCATAATATTATAATATATAATTTTGCTGGGGCCGAGTTTGAAAAAAATCTCATTTTTAGCTAGGGATGAAGCCGGTGCCCGAGTCTCGGTCACTTACTAAGTACTGGTTTTATTATTGTTGCTATTGTTTCGCTTTTTGTTGTTGTTTTTGGGCAAGGCATAACTTCATTCTTAAAGCAGTTATTTAATTTTGTTTTTTAATAGTTGTTACAATCTTCTTTCAATTCTTTAACTCTTCAATTCTTTAAGGCTCTATTTTTTCTTTTTTATATCAAAGACTCATTCTTAAATATTTAAAGTTTTAGTTTAATATTATCTTGATCAATTTTCAGCCCTTCAATGAACCTAATTTTAACTATTTTAGGGTAGAAGCTTGAGGCCGAAAATAAATATTTTTTAAAAATAAATTTTTATTTTTCTAAAAGTTGAGGTGAATTATCATATTGGTTTTGAGGTACTTAATTTTTTTTTAATTATATCTCTAAAAATAGAGAATTTTTGAAAAAGAAAACAAATTTTTAAAAAAATAGACTTTAGTAGGCTCAAAAAATTCTTTAATTTTCAAGAAAATTATAACTTATTTAAAAGTTAACTTAAAAAGCTCCTTTTTAGTGACTTTATTTACTTTAATTTAATTTTTTTTTTTTTAGTTGTTATAGTTATGATAAGTCTTTTTTAAAACAGTTTTACTTGGAGTTAAAATTTTGAGGAAATCTTTTTTTAATAAAGCCTTTAGGAGGTGTAAATTTCCAGAAAATCTGATATGATGACCTACAAAGGTGTAGCTCATTTTATATAGAACAATTCTTTTGAATAAAAATAGTAAAAAAATGTATAAAAATATTTTGTTATAGCAAAGAAACATGGTCTAACAGAAATTAGCCCAGATTATTATACTATTTTGTCGCATGCTGTTGAAAATAGATTACGATGTTTAATGGAAAGACTTGTAGTGTGTTGTTTACATAGAAATAATCCACACAAAGTAAGCATTATTTAATAAGTGTTATAAATTTAGTATTGTAGTGTTTACCTTTATTATTGTTTTCATACTGTTTACCTTTGTTGTACATGTTTTATTTTAGTGCAATATAATTTAAACATGTGCAATAAAGAATAATAAATTTTTAATTATGCATGTGCAATCTTTTTTGTTTTTAAGGATGAGGTTCGTTATGAAATAATATCCGATGTTCGCAGTCAATTAAATGTATTTGAAGATATTGATGAAGTTGAACGGAGACATAGAGAATCAAGAGAACGTGAAATGTTGATGAGAGTTGCAAAGGTTTTTTTTAACTCTATCAATTATTATGTATTAGCTAAGTTTACTAGTCATCATACAAATCATCCATTTTGTTTTAACTAAGCTATTCTAGACTAAAAATAAAATCTGCAATAGTAATAGCTTCTAGTATCAGGATTTTAAAGAGCTTTTACTCGTATTGTACATCTTTGTAAAATAAGGTTTAGATTTTTTTTAATGGTTATAATATAAATTTTATGATGGTTATAATAAACAAGATAATATTTACTATTTTATATCTCAAAAGCAATCTTTATTAACCAATATATTTTAAATATTTAAAAAACGTACCAAGTTAACTCTTTAAATATAATATAAAAATATTTAAATTAAATATAAAAAATATTTAAAAAACGTTAACTCTTTGAAAGTTACCTAAAATATAAACCCATATGGGTTTTTTATGTAGGAATCTTTACTCGTAGTATGCATATTTATATGCAAAAATAAATTGCGTTATGTTCACCTATCTATAGTTGGCTTAAACAATTTTATATTATACAATTAATTATAACCAAATTTATACAATTGCATAACTTTGCTCTGAAGTATTGCTAAGTTAATAAGCTTGTTGTGATTTGAATAATTAAATTATCTCTAAATACTTAAGTTTAGAAAAAGTAATCATTTTAAACTGTTAAGTTGTTTTTTTTTTCAAAGAATGGTTTCTACAATTAACAAGAAAACAATTATCTAAAATTGAGAATTTAGAAAACTGTAAAGTTGTGTAACTGTGCAAAAAAGAAACTAATTAGAAAAATTTTTCCTATATATTTTTTTTTTTGAAAATATCATTTATCTTAACTGATAAAAAGGATTTTTACATATGTAAGTTTACAGCCCTCAGAATTAGGAAAAAGGAGGTCAGCAAAAAGCTGACCTCCTTTTTCAGTAAAATATCATTTATCTTAACTAATAAAAAGGATTTTTACATATGTAAGTTTACAGCCCTTAGAATTAGGAAAAAGGAGGTCAGCAAAAAACTGTTGACCTTGAACTGTTGACCTTAAACTGTTAGCATCAGGTTTACAAAAATATTTCAACACAAAGGTTTTACTATAAAACATAGAAACTAGGTCGGCATTTTTTTGCTGACCTGAATCATTTTGAAGTCTGCATTGCAGAATGCTGACCCTAGTTCTGAGAGCTGAAGTTTATGTATGTATTTACAATGTATAATTAAAGCTGGCATTTCAAAAATCGTAATAAGCAGAATTTCGGGATGTAGAATTTCAAGTACTGTATTGACCTTGGGTCCACTATTATAATATGTTTTGCACACTTCAAGTTTTGAAACTAGTTTATTCATTTTTAAACTTAATTTATTGACATTTAAATGTTTTTTTCTTTAATTATCACAAGGAATAAAATCTTCATAATCAAATTAAAGTTTTATTATTATAAATTTTTTTCTAAGTAACTAACTGTCTGGTTGTGGCGCCAGGTTACCAACAGTCACTTTTTTTTTTGCAAAAAAAAATTAAAATTTTTATAAAATCCGTCTTTGAGAAAACAAGTCATGATGTCAAACAACCATGAGATTCCACCCCTAATATATATATATATATATATATATATATATATACATATATATATATATATATATATATATATATATATATATATATATATATATATATATATATATATATATATATATATATATATATATATATATATATATATATATATATATAATACAGGCCTTGTTTTAAATAAAAAAGTGCTTAATGCATTAGCTTAACGCGATTTTGATGTCATAAAATTATTTTTATTTTTTTTTATAGATGTTAAGTGTTTTAACTACCGCAATAAATAAATAACCGCAAACTAGTTCAATGTAACAATTAATTCAAATAACTATAAACGTTTTAAATGTAAATTTATTATGAAAATTTTTAATGTTTTCAATTGTTATTTTATTATTAATTTTAGTTCAATATTATTTAGTAAAATATATATATATATATATATATATATATATTTTAATTATTTCTGAAATTTGTTTTTGAATAATTGTTTTTAATCGTTATTGAATAAAAAATAATGATTTTTTTCATTTTTAAAAATTTCTAGAGTAAACAAAAAATATTAACATTGATAAACGCAAACTTATGCTAATTATTTAAACAACGATTTTGTTTTGACAAGCAAAGAAAAATTTAGGTTTTTAAATTCTTTTTAAACTTATCTTGTTTAGCGTTTCAACTTGCAGCAAAAACTATGTATCAAAAATATGCTCAAAGCAGACAAAACTTTTTTATAAAAATAAAAAAAGTTTTGTCTGCTTTGAGCATATTTTTGATACATAGTTTAGAAAGCGTTCGCCAGGAATTTAATTCATAAATTTTTTATGTTATTGTAAAAATATTTTACTTTTTAAACAAATCACAAAGAAACAGAGCTATAGAGAAAAGTTGTTTTTAACGATTAAATCTTTTTTTTAAAATTTTAGGAAATTAAAAAAAAAATTAAATTAAATATAAAAGTCTTAATTATGCAAACTCTTTTGCATAATTAAGACTTTTAATTATTTAATTTTTAATTATTCTTAAAACAAAAAAACAAATACTTCTACGCAAAACTTTAATCGTGCAAACTTAAAAAAATACTTAACTGAAATAATTTAAGTATATTTAATAATTTGAATCGTATCTGTTTATAATAAATTTGTTTATTAAAAATTAAGTTCCTTAACTTATAAACAAACTCAAAAGTATTTTCATTCTACGTATAATTACAAAACTCTTTTTTTTTCTTCGTTTGTAAGCAATTTAACTTAATAAAATAAAAAAAGAATAAATATGAGGTAATCTTTGTTAAGAACAAATTTAATTTATTTATTGAACTATATTTTTATTTTTAATTATATATCAACTTAATTAAAATATAGTAACATGTTAAAATATTTTAACATGACTTGTGTTATTTATAAACCGTTGGGCAGTTGCCCTTACGGCACCATTGTTTTTGGATAATATTTTATTTTGATGAAGATCACATAACTTACATTTGATTTTAATAACGTAAGTCTTCTCTTTTTCTGTGATCATCGCATCGGCAAAGTCCCAAGATTTAAAAGTTTTTAAAGTAAATCTTTTGTCCTTCAAAATACAATCCATATTCGAACTTTAAACAATTTAGAGATAATAGAAATATACAAGGTTTTTATATACTAGTTTGTTTTGTTTTATAAAGAAAAATACATATTCATTAGTAAAAAATGGAGACTGTCATTAAACTAAAACGTGCCTTAGTATTTATTTAACGGAACCTGTAATGTGCGCGTGCATAATGAAATATTCGTTATATAAATATATTCAACGTAATATTAGTGTCATCAGCGGGTGTTGTAGTCTACTCATGATTTCTTTACCTTATAATATAACTTGATTTATGAAAAAAAAAACTTATTGAATTGCACGCAGAAGAAATTTAACAAATTGTCTTCATTCAAATATTGCGAGTAACAGGTAATTTTTTTTTTCTGTCCCGACCCCCTCCCCCCGCATAACTTAAAGGTAAAGGTATCTATATACCTTTAACTACTAAGAAAAGCAAAGACATTTTTTTTAATATCTCAAAAAAATGTCTTGATATTTTTGTTATCATGATAACAAAAAAATTAAGACATTTTTTGAGATATTTAAAAAAATGTCAATTCTTAATTACAAATTTTTTTGCAAACGTTTTTTATTATAAATTCAGTAAAAAATTCAGTAAAAAATCTATTTTACAAAAAACATTTATATTCTGTATTAATAAATACTAGCTGTAAGCAACCCGTAATACGGGTTAGTAGTATATAAATCATTATTAACAATTTAATATTTATTTACTTTCTCTAATAAATTATTAATTTATTTATACAGTAAGCAACCCGTAATACGGGTTAGTAGTAAATAAATTATTACTGTCAATTTAATCTTTATTTACTTTCTCTAATGAAATATAAATTTATTTATACATTTTTTTTAGTTGAGCTCACTTTTATTTTTCTTGGCTTCTTAGTTTAAGAGAACTCTTAGCTTCATTAAAGATAAAGTTAACCACAAAATGACTTAACTTATGCACAGAAAATCTATGTCAAATTTTCAAATTCCGTAAAATTGTTTAGGTAAATTATGGGAATATATTCTACTCTTAATTTTGCTTTAAGCTGAGTCGTTTCTTTATTTTTTAAACTTTTCATTTAACTGAGTGAAGAGCTTCAAAATATGTCACTATCGCACCTAAACCTTTTAAATGTTATTAATATATTTTTTAAAACATCTAAAATATTACACCCAAACTTGCAGGCATAGAAGTTGGATATCCGGAAAAACTATAAGTTGAAAAATATATTGCAATTCCGAAAAGGGCTTACCCTGCATACGGATCCTATATATTATGATAAAGATTATTATTTAAACCAACCTTTTTTTTAATTAGTAATCCAGCAGTAACTTGTTTATAAAAAAACAAAGGAATATATGGATTTACTATAATAGCTAACGTGTATCAACATATTTATTTCATTTTGCCTTAACTTGGCGTTAGATTATTAGTTTTATTTCATTAATTTTTGTATATATCAGGTTAATAATAAAAGCAATTAGATTTTACTCAATATTTTTTAAGTAATTTTTATATTTATTTATATATAGTAAATTTTATATTTGAAGTAATATTTAATAAAATTGATAAAATCATAAAAGACAGTTAAAAAATATATTTAAATCTTTGTTCACTTTTTGAAAATCCGTAAAAAAGCAAGTATTAAGTTAACTTATCTTTAAAAGAAATTTATTTACATGATATATAGTTAAATATGTAACAAAAATATTTTAAAACAGAAGCATATATAAAACACATTTTTCTTAAAAAAAACAAAGTTGAAGCCACCATTTACAGCACCGAGGAGCCAAGCATAGCCTATTGTAAAGAAAACCATATCAAATAATTTAAAATATTTATTACCGATAGGGACGACAATTAAACATATTTAAAAAGCTACGTGATTCCATATTAGTAGAATTGTTATAGAAAAGTATATTAAAAAAGTATATTAAAAAAAAAAGTGTATTAAATAGAAAACAGATTTTTAAAAACTACCTAATTTTGCCAATGATGTTCAATTTTGAAACCAATATCTTTAATGATAAGCCGACTTGTTTAACTAATATCATTCAAAGAATAAAATTATTAACACTTAAAGATAAACAAAAAAAAAATGAATGAGATAATAAACAATCGTACTATAGCATTATATAAATAAGTAGATATATATGAAAAAAAATAACAACAACTGGAAAACAGTATACCTGCTTTTGGTAACCTATTGTGATACTGCAGCAGTTGCTGTAGGGATGCAGCTGTTCTTTTTGGTGTTGTTCAAAAACGTAATTTTTATGTTGGCTTTTAGTAAACTTTAGTTTAATTTAAAAGACATCACAACGGATTTAAAATATTCATAATAAAAAGAGCAAAACATAAAATGCTTTAAGTAGCCAAACTATAAACATAAAAGATTAAGAATGGAATCAAGATAAATAAATTGTATTTATATAGCTAAATATATTGCCTTGGGTTTTGGTAAATTTTAAAAGCATTACCAAATAATTGTTTTTAACAAAAGAATGCAGCATCATTATATTATGATAATTGGATAATGAATCAATTCAACTTTCGACTTTAGAATTTAGGGAGGGGTATTTAAGAGGGCTTTAAATTTGAAGTCAGGTTTAATTGGTGAGAAAACAATTAAAAATTTTATTAAAAAAGATTAAAACAAAACAAATATACAACGTAATATATATTTAAAAAAAAAATTACAAAACTATAATAAAAAAAACACCAAACAAAAAATTACAAAATTAAAAAAAAAAAAAAAACGAAGAAAAAGCAGCAACTAAAAAGTCATAAATATCTCTACTGATAGAAGACATTTACAACCTTTTGGTTGCTGTTTTTTCTTCGGTGTCTCCCAACACCCCGGTATGGATGATTCCTCAATTTAAAAGAGGGCTCATCCATACCGCCATTACGTTTCCATTTATTGAAGGACCTCTCTGAGAGAGGTCCCGGGTGTTGGGAACGATAATTTTGATATTGTTCGAATGATAAGGAATCTAAAGTTACAAATAGAAGAGTATAATAAAAATTATACATTTGCAATTATTAAAAAAAAAAAAAATTAGCATAACCTCACCATTTTCATTCGAAACAGAAGATGCTAAAAAAAAAAAAAAAAAAAAGAGCAAATTAATAACATGCAATATTTTGTATTTAAATAAATATATAGGGCAATAATGCAACCAGTTCAATAGTGTCATATTTATTAATTAATTTTTTCACCTATTGCATATATTTCTCCATACAAAATATATAAAATATAAAACACAATCCTACCAGCTATACTTCCACCTGACACTAAAGACAAATATATACTTAAATAAATATATAATAATCGATAAAATAATGTTAACATATAAATATAAAAAGTTATAATATATCTTAAAAATATCTAAAGTTACAAATAGAAGAATATAATAAAAATTATACATTTGCAATTATTTAAAAAAAAAAAAATTAGCATAACCTCACCATTTTCATTCGAAACAGAAGATGCTAAAAAAAAAAAAAAAAAAAAAGAGCAAATTAATAAGGGTTAAACATGCAATATTTTGTATTTAAATAAATATATAGGGCAATAATGCAACCAGTTCAAAAGTGTCATATTTATTAATTAATTTTTTCACCTATTGCATATATTTCTCCATACAAAATATATAAAATATAAAACACAATCCTACCAGCTATACTTCCACCTGACACTAAAGACAAATATATACTTAAATAAATATATAATAATCGATAAAATAATGTTAACATATAAATATATACATATCTTTAGTATAATATAAATATATACATAAATTTAGTGCAGCAAGTGGATCATAAATATATAGTTGAGAATATATTGGTGGATTATCTTGATCTGGCCTAAGATTACCTACACGATGAAAAATCTGGCCACATATTTTAAAACATGGAAGCCCATGATTCATTGGTTGAATTACATTTGCTGTAAAAGAAGCAAAAGAAAGGCAGACATTATAATTTCGAATATGTTTTAAAAAATTAGCATTAGCATTACAATCTACATAACTCCCTGTAAACAAATCCTGTAAAGCTTGTGTAATTGGTGAAAGTGGAGGCAAAGCTACCTTACCATTATGGCAACATAGAAAATGTGTTTCATCTGGAAATTTCTTAGCACCACAGTGCTGACAAATTTGATTCATTTCTCCTAAATAATTATAATCTGGAATAGCATTACTTCTCGCTATAGAATACATTCGTCCTTGTCCAACAGCTCTTCTTTCATTTTGGCGACGATTAACATTATCTCGATCGAGCCTATTTCTTTCATTTTGGCGACGATTAACATTATCTCAATCGAGCCTATTTCTTTCATTTTGTAAACAATTAATTTCATCTCGCCTAAGTCTATTTCTTTCATTTTGTAAACAATTAATTTCATCTCGCCTAAGTCTATTTCTTTCATTTCGTCTACGATTATTTTCAACACGCCTTATAGCACTTACATCATCTTGTAAATACAAAACTACATCTAGCCTATCATCCATTTCAATGTCATCATTTTCATTAAACATATTTATCAAAGCAACACTAATTATTTCTTTTTTTTTTTTTACTAATCTAAAGTTAACAATAAAATAAAAAAACTTAATAACTAAAAAAATCATACTCGAAAAATTAAAAAAAAAAATTTCAAAACAAATATATATAAAGAAACCAAACAAATGCAAAATAAAATTAATTTGCTCTCATCAAAAGTAATACAGGTTTCTTAAGTTTATTTGATAGAAGTTAAGAAAAACCTGCAACCACATCAGCAAAAACTTATTAAAACTTATTTTATTTCTAATAAAAAAAAAAAAAAAATTGCGACAGCGTCATAGTTCATGCGTTGGGAGAAAACATTGAACAAAACACGTAATAAAACTTATTAATGCATTATGTACGATAGAAAACAGGTTATTAACGCGGGTTTATAAATTTTTTTCTCCTAACACACTATTATGCTGTCGCAACTCCAAGGATATATATAGTTATATATAGTTATATATAGTTATATATAGTTATATATATATAGTTATATATATATATATATATATATATATATATATATATATATATATATATATATATATATATATATATATATATATATATATATATATATATATATATATATATACAGAACTATTTATTAGTGAAAACATATGAAAACCAAAATTTTTTTTACAATATATATAGTATATATTTGATAAATAAACCTCTACAATTTCTTTGGTTCAACAACTCGATAATGATTAATAACAACTCTGTAAACATGAATTTTCTAATAATTTAAATCTTAATAAATTATAACAATTAACTACTTATTTAAACAAATAATTACTTATTAAATTTTAAAAGATTTTATATATACGTAATGTCTACTTAGAAATACTTAATGTCTATTTATACATTAAAAAGATCTACAATTTTGAAAACCTGAAACTTTAAATCTACCTCAAAAAAAACAGATATATATTGAAAAGTATTTTTATTTCTTTTTAAAAATTTAAAAATGCTTTTTAACTTACTCCCTCCAATATTATTATATAATTTATAGTATATATTGATAAATAAACCTCTACAATTTTCTTGGTTTAACAACTTTTTTAAACTTGGTTTAAAAAAATTTCTAATAAATACATATTTAGATACCTTAAAATGAAGCATAACACAACACTCTTTTGACAAATTCCAGAAGAAATTTTCTTAATTTTTTTATTCCTTATTATTTTTCCTTAGAGAATATATATATGTAGATATAGAGAAATATAAAATAGACTGAAATAAATCGAAAACCTTAATTTATGTATGAGAAAATAACTTGAACTTACTAAAAAAGCGATCAGCTTCTCTAAAACTGCTCTAAAAAATAAAACAAATACTGCTTAAAATGTTTGTTGTACTAAATAAACTATTTTACCAGTCAATTTAGTTCTAACTTAATCTAAAAAATGAAAAATAAATACATATTTAGATACCTTAAAATGAAGAATAACACAACACCCTTTTGACAAATTCCAGAAGAAATTTTTTTTATTTTTCTACTCTCAATTATTTTTGCTAAGAGAAAATACATATAGATATACATATATATATACATAGCAAACTAACAATTATTTAAATTTTTATTTTAAAAAACAAACAACATTAATTCTTCTTGAAAATAAATGTATCAGCTCCAATTTAATTGCTGATTTTACTTGAATGACCGCATGGAATATATAACTGCGCTTAGAAAATTCTAGAGGCAAAGAAATAGTATATTTTACATAATGCAGAACCGTAATTAACAAAACGAACAATAGGCGTAACAATGCGTAACTATGCGCACTATTAATATTCATAGGCTATTCATTATAGGCGGATGGAATATAGATTTTTTTAAAGTTTTTTACTGAAAACTTTAAAAGACTTTTTATTAAAAACATTGCAAAAAATTTGTAGTTAAGGATTGACAAACAATTTTTCATGTTGCTAAAGATTTGGATAAAAAGTTTAGCGTCAAATTAATTGCTATAAAAAGGAAAGATATATTGCAATGAAAAGTTACAACTATTATTTTTAAAGTAAATTCTTTTTTTTAGTAAATATCTTTACATATCGTTATTTAAAAGTTAATGTGGTTTTTTTAAAAATTAGTTACTTCTTTTATGTTACCGCTAATTTAAATGTTAAAAAATGATGAAAAGTAGCTTAACCAAAATAGCTCTACGCATACGTAAAAGTCGCTTAAGGCGTACGTAAATCGCTCTAGGCGTAACGCTTTAAAACAAGGCCTGTATATATATATATAATTAAAAACGAAAAAAGAAAAAACTTTTATTATAGAACTTTAAGTTTCATGCCTAACGGCAATCATCAGCCATATATTACAAAATTTAAAATAGACGTTAAAATTACAATTAAAATTACGGTGGCATGAGTTCTAATGACTCCATGGAAACAAAACTTTAAGTTTTAAGAGTATCACGTGGCGTAAAAGTGACGTAAACCAATCAGGGTCAATCTGCGGTATCATAGGAGGAAATAAGAAATTTATTTTTGTGCCTACACTTCGAGATTATTTCACTCCTTGTGTTAAGTAGTTTTTTACCTTTATACATTAGAATTTGAAACTTCTCGTTCAAACAGAGGTTGCACACTCTTGATGTTGGGTTGTATGGTTTGCAATGCTTAACAATTTTCCATCTGACAAAAGGTGTAAAGTTTTTTTCTTTTAATTTCCATATTTCTTTAGATAACTCTGTATCATTTTTATATCTAATTGAATTAAAAACTTTAACTCTAGCCGACAAAACATCAAACATGTACAAATTATCTAAAGATCAGTACAACCATCTCCTTAATAATGCAATTACTTCTACGTATAAAAAGGCTGACCCTAAACTTAAAGATCAAATAAACATACAAGGTAAACAAATTTTAATTAACCATGATGTATACAATAAAGTTGGAATTAACGGTACTGAAAATTGTTTCATAACTCTAAAAGACCACAAAGAAAACTTCCTAGATAAACCAACTGTTAGACTTATTAATCCTGCGAAAAATGAGATTGGAAGAATTTCAAAATCTATTTTATCCAACATTAATTCCGAGCTGAGAAAGAAACAATTTTTGAACCAATGGCAAAATACTCAAAATGTTATACACTGGTTTCAAACCATAAAAGAAAAACAATTCTGTAAGTTTTTAGTCTTTGATATTAATGATTTTTATCCATCGATTAATGAAAACCTGCTGAAAAATGCGTTATCCTTTGCAGAGCAACATCTAATAATAAATAGTGAGCAAAAGAGTTTTATATACCATGCAAGAAAATCGTTATTATTTAGCAATGGAACTGCTTGGATTAAGAAAAAGGGAGGATTATTTGATGTCACTATGGGGGCCTTTGATGGCGCAGAGATTTGCGAATTAGTTGGTATTTTTATTTTACATCAAATCTTGCAGTTTTATGATAAAAATAATTTTGGTATATATCGAGATGACGGATTAGCTATATTTAGAAACAAAAGTGGTCAAGAAATGGAAAAGATAAAAAAATATTTTGTACAAATCTTTAAAAATAACAATCTTTTAATATCCATTAAAAGTAATTTGAAAATAGTTAATTATTTGGATTTAACGCTAAACCTTAAAGATGGTTCATTTAAACCCTACCCCAAAGCAGATAATATACTTAATTACATACATACAAGTTCTAACCACCCACCGAGTATAATAAAAAGTGTTCCTAAAACCATTGAGTTAAGATTATCAGCAGCATCGACAATTGAATCGATTTTTAAAGAAAGTATTCCTCCTTATCAAGAAGCCCTGAAAAAATCTGGACACACTTGCGAACTTGCATACCATCCAAGTATAAAATCTTCAAACAACAACCATAAACGTAAAATAATTTGGTATAATCCTCCTTTCAGTACAAATGTTGTAACAAAAATAGGTAAATGTTTTTTAAACCTCATCGACCACCACTTTCCAGTTAACCACAGACTCCGTAAAATATTTAATAGAAACACAATCAAAATAAGTTATTTCTGCATGCCAAACATAAAATTCATTATCAACTCTCACAATAAAAACACGTTACATGAGGAAGCAAAAGTTAATGAAAAGACATGCAATTGCATTGATAAAAAATGTCAAATGTCCGATGAACAACCATTGTCTTTTTAACAACATTTATCAAGCCACCGTTTGTTTAAACAATCCGGAGTACAAAGAAAAAGTGTATTTTGGACTCAGCGAGACATCTTTTAAAGTTCGATACTCAAACCATCTCAAATCTTTTAATTCAATTAGATATAAAAATGATACAGAGTTATCTAAAGAAATATGGAAATTAAAAGAAAAAAACTTTACACCTTTTGTCAGATGGAAAATTGTTAAGCATTGCAAACCATACAACCCAACATCAAAAGTGTGCAACCTCTGTTTGAACGAGAAGTTTCAAATTCTAATGTATAAAGGTAAAAACCTACTTAACACAAGGAGTGAAATAATCTCGAAGTGTAGGCACAAAAATAAATTTCTTATTTCCTCCTATGATACCGCAGATTGACCCTGATTGGTTTACGTCACTTTTACGCCACGTGATACTCTTAAAACTTAAAGTTTTGTTTCCATGGAGTCATTAGAACTCATGCCACTGAAATTTTAATTGTAATTTTAACGTCTATTTTAAATTTTGTAATATATGGCTGATGATTGCCGTTAGGCTTGAAACTTAAAGTTTTATAATAAAAGTTTTTTCTTTTTTCGCTTTTAATTATAAACCGCTCTGTTATGAAATTTATATATAATCAAAATAAGTTTCTTAAATATTGAGCACTTTTCAACGAACAAGAGTTGTGTATTATTTTAATACAACACTACATAAAACGATATATATATATAAATATATATATATATATATATATATATATATATATATATATATATATATATATATATATATATATCATCTTGTTTTAAAGCAAAAAATGGTGTATGTTTATACGCTATGCTAAGGCTAAAGATAATCTTTAAGCGGAAGGATAAAAGAAGTATTTTATGTTAAAAAACCTGTTTATGAAGTTTAAATGACAATTAGGAGAAAAAAGTTGGAATGACAATTACATTTAATATTAGCAAAATTTACAAATGTAATAAGTTAATAAAAAACAAAGAAAATTTTTTTGTTTTTTGTTTTTTAATAAACAAAAGTTTATTAATTAATTTTTATAGTAACTAATTAATAATAATTATGTAATACATGCATAAATTAACTGATGCAAATTACTAACCTTTTAAAATTTTCTTCTATAGTCAGAATAAAAATTCAAGAGTACTAGGGAAAGTTTGTGTACCTAGGGCCACCCCACTTTATTTGAAAACTATAAAGTTTTAAGTAGTGCTTTTCAGTCAGCTGATTAGTTATAAAAATTTATTATTAATCCTATTTTTATTCTCAGAGAGCTTTGCTTTTGGTTATAATTGGAAAACACTTATTGATGTTTTAAAGTAAGTCTTTACTGCCACTGGTATCTTCAATTGTTTTACAATTCTAGAGGATATGCTTTTCAATAAGTTATTGTTATTATATTAAGTTATTTAAGTACTAAATATGATGTTCAATAAGTTTCCTCTCAATCGGAGTTTGTTAATAGATGACATTTTTCATAAGGCTATCATTTCTTGTACCTAGAGTCATATGGTTTGCTTGTACCGAGGGCCATATGTGTGTACAAATTTGCTTGATAACGAGTTAGACTGTTGAATTTTGATTGGTGCAGAATATTTTTTCTCGCAGTTGTTTTGGGACTACCACTATTATTATTTGTCAATTTTTCTTAGAAATATAAGTGTTGCAATTAAATAATACTAGATAACTTTGTTGAAAACAATCTAAAATTAAATAAACAATAGGTAAGTACAATTTAAAAAAATGGTCCTAAGTATGATTTAAAAAAAGCTTTTTGTACCTAAAGGTAGAAAAAACCCTTCTCCATGACTTTAGTTTAATACAATATACTTATACTAATAGATAATAATTAGTATAGAAGTGTGACCATATTAATTTCACCATTTTTGGACAAGTCTAGGGCCTTGAATTTAGGCATTGAAAAAATCCGGCCCTAGGTACACAAAATTCCTCTATATATTTGGAAAAATTTCAAGTTTTAAAAATTATCTACTGATGGCAAGATGGCTGCGTTTTAACGAAAGAACCAGGTTAAAATAGAAAATATATGAAAGTTTAAAAAAAGTAATATATTTTTTTACAAATAATTAAAATAAAATATTAAATTTATTTGCTACATAGTTTTAAGAATTTATTCGAAGTTTTAATAATAAAGTATTATCTATATCGTCAAAGTTTCATCAGATGCTACAACTTTTTTGTTATTAATAACTCTTCTCCTCGTCTTTTTGGCATATCAACATTAGCATGTATATTTAAATCTTTATATATATATATATATATATATATATATATATATATATATATATATATATATATATATATATATATATATATATATATATATATATATATATATATATATATATATATATATATATATATATATAAACGAAAAAAGGTATAAAAATTATTCAGTTTATAATATGATTTTTAGAGTCGGTCTAAAGCTGAAGATCCAGAACAAGTTAGATTAAAAGAAAAAGCTAAACAGGTAATTTTTTGATTCAGTAGATTTAAATGAAACAAAGATCTATTAATATTGATTTTATAAGTTTTTTTTCAGCTTCAACAAGAGGAAGAAGAAGTCAATCGTAAACGCGCTGCTAATCGAACTGCGCTTGATGCTATCGGTGGTCCTCGCAAAAAACGGAAACTAGACGAAGCTCTCGAATCTTTACAAAGTACATCTGATCAAGGTGGAAAGCCTTCTGGGCCGACCGGTTCTTCTTCAAATAACACTCTTCAGGTATTATTATTACTATCATCATCATCAACATCATCGTTGTCATCATCATCATCGTCGTCGTCATCATGATTGTTATCATCATCATCAACGTTTTCATTTTGTTATTTTTTTATATTTACTTAATTAAATTTGTTTGCCTTTATTTGTTCTTATTATTGTTATATTGTCTACTTTTATTTATAAGTATTTTTTATTTGAATTTAAAAAGTTTACAACAGAAGATTTTAAAATTCTTTTGGTATATATATATTGAAGTTTTACGTTGTATTTTTAGACGTCGAGATCTCGTCGTCGTATAACACTAAAAGACATGCAGTTTGTACTGGAAACAGAAAAAGACACGTGCAAATCTCTTATTTTATATCGTTCCTACTTGAGGTGACATTCCTCTGAAAATTCTAAAATATTAATTTAGCCCTAATAAATCGAATTCGTGTTATCTTTTCTATGGCTTTGTATGCCTTAAGTTATAGCTTTATAATTAGATTCCTAAATTTTCAAGAAAGGATATAATTCTTAAAATCCGAGACTTTTTTTTATATTTAAACTATTTTAATGTGCAAAGTTGCACACAACATTTTATGTGCATAAGCTTTCGCTTTTTTTGTTTTTTGTTGTTGATGTTGTGGCGTTGCTTCTTGTTAAAAAGACTTATTTTTAAGGATCTTCTTACCTAAGAAAGCGTGTTTGTAAACATACTTTTATAAGATATATTTTTGATAGTTTCATTCCTTAAAACTGGTTGTAATCGTGATTTAAAAAACTGAAAACGGTTATTGTACAGATACATTTAAAAGTTATTATTATTAATGCTTTGCTTCTGTGATTTTAAAAACAAAGATTTGTGTAATACTACTCTTAATAAATGTACAAAAAAGTTAAAAGCCAATACACTCTCCCCTATTTTAATAAGGGATAGTGGCGCACCATGAAACAATGTAATTGTAAAGGCATCTGAAGAGTTGTGACAACCACTATCATATTGTGAAACAGTTACTAAAGATATGTTTTGATATAAAATATATATATATATCATTTGACAATATTGTGCCTGTGAGGCGTCAAAACTTGTGCTTTTTTGATGACAAAAAAAATTATTTTTAAAGTTAATAGGTTTTATTCTTAATCAATGTGTCAATCGGTAAGTATCATTATTTTGTAAACTACAATTCATAGGCTTTTTACTTTATTAAACAAAATCATTGAAAAAATTTATTGCTAATGCTAAAATTAAAGCGATTATTCTATTACCAAGTATGGGGCAACTTGATACAGCACTTTAGGGGGGCCCTGAAACTGTAGAATAATACATCAATGTGTCATAAACAATACGTAAATCATTTCTTTTAGTATTTACCGTCAATTTTTAGGAGCTTTACGCAAATATAATACTTGGAGATCCAATTTCGATACAAAGCTATTATTTATTGAAGTTTAAGAATGACAATTAAAACCCTATATCTGGATTTCTGAAAATGTGATTTGTACCATTGGATTTTTTTTTTTTTTTTTTTTTGTCAAATTGTAAAAATCTGCCTTTTCTCAACTTGTTATTTATTTTTTTAATGATGCTCATAGTGTGTATTAAGGTACCCTATGGGTACCTTGATACCTTTTTAAATAGTCTCACAAGTTTAACCTGTTATATTTTGGTAATTAATAAGTTTGATTTTGTTGGTATAAATTTAATTTACAAATTAAACCATTACCTTATAAAAAGGTGTGTTAAAAAAATTGTTACGAAGTAAAAACCAAAAGTGGTGCCCAACTCTCGCCTTAACCTTAAAAAGTAAACTTGTAATAAATCAAGACAGGTTAGGCCGACGTGTGTACACAATTCCAAAAGTCAAAGTGAAAATAATGGAAAAGGCTAACAATTTTTTCAATTTTGAAGTTACGCATTTGAAAATATCAAATGTATTTTCCTTGTTACAAAAGTAGAGAATAAATTTATCAGACTTTTTTCTAACATTTCCAAATTAACTAGATTGACATTAAGCGTATACTAGAAGAAACGGTGAAAAAAAAACTATGAAAAAGGTATTCATCAAATTTTATTTAGAACTAAATCTTTCAAATCATTGCGGATTCAGATATTTATCGACTTTTTAGAAAACCAAAAAGTATAACAAACTAATAGTATTTAAATTTTTGCATCAAGTTTTTGATTTTTTTTTTTTTTTTTTTTTTGATTTTTTAGTTTCAGGTTAATTTGGCACTTTGTGATTTGGAAGAGTGATGTCTATATTTTTATAGAATATATTTAATTTTATATATATTTTGGTAGAGTTAAGTCTGTAATATATTTTGGTAGAGTTAAGTCTGACGTTAATTTTAAACTTAAACAAAAAAACATGAAGAAATGCGTTTTTTTGCGCATTCTTTTAGTGAGAAGATCCATTTTAAAATTATTTCTCTTTTAATTAAAATTAATCTCCTTTATTTAACTCATCGAGTTTCTTTGAAAAAAAAAAAATACTGAGAATAACAGTCTAGCATAAAACACATCTAGAGATGTGTTTGCAATTCTTTTGCTATTGAACTTTAGTTTCTTTTGAGATTTTCCAAACATTTGAAAGTAATTTATTTTCTCATGTTTTCTTTTTTGTCATTTTTAGAACTTATTTAAAGTTAAATAAGGAAACTAAAATCACGTTTAAAATATGAGGTATTTTTTTATTTAATTTATTTTGTGCTTTAAGAGAATTAGAAAAAAAAAAAAAAAAAAAAATTAGCTCAAAGTTTTTGTGTTCGCTGCGAACAAAAAAATAAAATTAGAAGTTTAAAGAGAAAATATCTAGGAAATAGGTATACAGAAAAACAAAGAAATTAAATGAAACTTAAGCAAAAACATGACTCGGACGCATCAACAAATTGTGTTGCTGAAGTTTACACCTTTTTTTTTTTTGTAGCTTATACTGATATAATGAATATGCTCCACCACTTACAAGCTACAATTGTGGTTTTATAGACATTAGATTACGTAAATTACATTCTTACACTTAAGAACGTCCTGTTCTTGAGTGTAAGAATGTAATTTTAAATGCAAATACTTCTGGTGATAAACCTATTGAGGGTAATAATTGCATTTGTCTATTGATAATAATTATAAATAGACAAATGTAATAATGTTGTGGGTATTCTTTATTAAATAAAGTTGTTGATGGTCTATCACGTGAGAATAAAAAGGTGATTGATGTTTTTTACTTTATCTAAATTTTTTCAAAGGTTTTAAATATATTAATTAAAACTTATAATAACTGAAATAATCAAAACTATTAATTTTCAATATTAATATGTACGGCCGTGGCGTAGTGGTTACAGCGCTTACTTTATAAGCAGGAGATGCTGAACTCTGGACATATTTTCGCGTCACGGTAAGGAAGGAGGCGTGAACTTCCTGGTTAAATGCACTTTCGCGGTACTCTGTGACAAGACCGTTAGGTCTTCTTGGGGCACCTAAATAACAAAAAAAAAAAAAAATAATAATAATAAAAAAAACTAAAAATCTATTGATTTTTAAAATAGGAAGACAAAAAAAATTTAAAAATTAATTATTTTAGATCAGCAGGGTTTTGTTCAGTTCTTGGAGCTCAATAAATATTCCATTTATTTATACAAAAGTATAGCTTAGTATCTTGAGCATGGTGACTCAAGTTAAAGGACAATTAACAAATATATAAAGTTCATTTTATTTCTATTTATACAGTTTAGTCCTTTTTTATACTAGTTATCTTATATGTAAATACCTAAAATAATAGTGCTTTTTTGCACGTATTTTTCTGATATGAACTGGAGGGGTTTTGATATTTGCTATCTCAGTAGATCTAACATTTTTGTAATTAATTATTGTTATGGTTTGAAACTTTTTTAGTATGAATAATTCTCCGATAGCATTTTCTCGTTTAGAAACATTTTCTTACATTTAATTTTATTTTTTTTATTGTTGCTTCAGATATACTATATCTTTTTTTTTTTTTTAATTTTAATTTGGTGCCCCAAGAATTCCTTACAGTCTTATCACAGAGCACCGCGGATAAACATTTAATTGAAGGTTTACGCCTTCTTCCTAACCAATGTCGCAAAACTTGCCCAGAGGTGGGGTTTGAACCACGGTCCCTTTGTATCTGAGGCAAGTACAATACCACGGCGCCATCTGCTGCATCTGTTTTCCTTTTTTATTGTCTTAAAAGTTTATTTTATGGTCTTTGTATTTAAAACAACTTAAATCAGCTCTTTTATTCAATAGAAATTATTTCACAAATTCATCTTCATTTTTATCTGTATCACAGTTATTGTTAATAACTTTATATTTTCGTGCGCGTTCAGTAAATTTAATTTTTGTACTTGAAATATAACTACTTCCCTAAAAAGTTTTAATTCTATCAATCTGTGTAATTTCCAGTATGATTTTTTAGTTTATTTTTTAGTTTATTTGGGTAATTTACTGTGGATAATTGCATTTATAAATTTAAAAAATTTTTTAAATATAAATTTAAAAAGAAAATATTTTTTATATCAAGAAAAAATTCCCCTTTTTATTATGGTATAAAATGGTGTTGTTTTTGAATTTTAAAATCAGTTTCATCCAAAAAAAGAAGGTTGTAAAATTTATTAAATTTACTTTGTTTCCAGGTTTCTTTATAGTCAGAGATCAGGTCAAGTATAGGATCATCATGATTACCCATGACAACCAAGAGCATGATCACCCTGCTACTGGTAAAATGTATTCCAATACAACCCGCCTTATATCTTATACCTTGCAAGACTTGCTTTTCTAAGCAAAGACTTTTTTAACTTTAATTTAAAGTACCCCGTACTTTGGAATTCTTGATTAAGCAAAGGTCAGAAATGGTTTCTACAAAATTACTCATTTTAAACATTTCTAACTGCATACGGCTAAATTCTTGTAAAGGATTTCCTAGCACAGACTGTAGAGGTAAACAGAAACTTTCTGTTGACTTGGTTTGCATGCTTTCCTTCTTTAATAAGCTGGCATATATATTAACCTGTAATATATTGTTTTCTGTCGCGGATGATGAATGCTAGATTTTATAGGTTTTACTCATGAGTTGTTGTTTTTGCCTCTTTATTATTTGCTTTGCGATTCTTTTTGTTATCTCCTTATGACGGAACAGCTCAAAAATTTAATCTGACAATGTAATATTAACTAGAACAAAATTAACTATTTGCAAGATATTATAAATTTGATTTCGGTGCAGATCATCCGTTAGGTCTTTTTACCTCCAATTCTAATAAAACAATTTAGAGACCCAGTATTCGCAACTGTTACGTCACACCCTACGGCAACTAGTTTAGGGGTATCAATATTATTTTTAACTAAAAAAATGCACACTCTTGACTTAGTGTTTCGACCATATGATTATGGCGTACATTTCACTTCACGCACCATATAATTTAAAAACCAAT